ACATTGCTTCATGCCATATTTCCTTTATACAGGCTGTAACACATTGCTTCATGCCATATTTCAAGATTCTAGGTCGACTGGAAGTACCCTTTTACGCAATTATTATTTTTTTTTTATGTGATGGAACCAAAAATTTGTGGTTTTCGGAATTTTTCCTTTATCTGTGCTTAACGATGTTTCTTCGTGTCAAATTTCAAAATTTTAAGTTCACGGGAAGTACCCTGTACGTTTTGATTCCCTTCCGAATGTCGAAAATTTACATATGCGTTGCCTACCTTTAATCGACGGAGGAGAGGATGCACAGAAAGAAAATATTTTCCCTACCCATGCATCCTCTCATCCGGAAAGTCCACTTCCACTTCCCATCCTTTCCTTATAAGAAAAAAAGTGGGAAGGGAAAAATGACTAAATTAGGCCTCCGGGAAAAGCGGGCTCTACCACTGTTGAAACATTTCGATATTTTGATATAAATTCCAGCTTGATACCTTCACGCGTTTTTGAGAAAAAGGGTCTTGACACACAGACGGACGGACAACAAAGTGATCCTATAAGGGTTCCGGTTTTTCCTATGAGATACGGAACCCTAAAAATTTATATGAGAAGAAACAAAAAGAACTGTCTCTAATGTTTTCTTACTTAATTGCGCGACACATTGCAAAATATCTGTAACACATCTAAAAAGTATTAAAGAACCTAAGTTAAAGTGTTTATTTGTTCGAATAATATTAATACAAGACCGATACAAGACCGATTCTCGGTAGTTCATAGTTGTTTGTTTGTTTGTTTTGACAACTGTCCAACAAGTACAACATTAATGTTAACAAACTAATCTACGTTATTATAAATAGACGCACTATAATTGGGCGGCACTTCAATGAATTTTGCGAAATCTTGATTCTTGATTATTTTACTAAAATTAAAGAATGGAAGAATGTTGCTTACACACACGTGAGATCCTCTCTATTAATATTCCAGTCTGTTGTCAAATCTGTTTAGCCGATCCGGAGATTACAGGAACATAGTCATGATGAGCTGCAGATCAGCGCGCGGCTCACATGTCACAAGCAGATCAGGTTACCAGTTTGCAGCTCAGCTCAACTTGTGCCTGAGTACTTCGGCGAATTCAGTTGGCCGCTTGCTCTTTTGTCATCTCATAATGTAAGAAAAAATGCAAAAAGTGTCACTTTACCTAAATGTAAATAGCTTTAATAACTTCATATTTACCTGACACACAATATTACGATGATCATTTCATTAACAGTTACCTGATGTATTGTAACACACAGGTATTGTTCATCAGCATCCAGATATTTGTTTGTTCAAAAAATGAAGATACGTTCACTTGATTCCGCATAACATGTTCACATGTTTATATAAATATGTAATACTAATTGTATACAATAGAGGTACATAAGTAACATCACACATTGACATCACAAATGCAAGGCGAATGTTATTTTTAGGGATTAGTGAAGCCTAAGTACTAAAAATTTCATCAACATGTATGTATGAAAATAATTTAAATGCAGATAACATAATATTTACAACTTGTCAAAGATTAAATAATTTTTTAGAAAAAAAAATATTTTATTATATATAACAAGAAATACATTCCCAGTGTTCATATTGTAAACACCCTGTATAATATACAACTTTGATAAATGTACTACTAAAACGAGTCATGGAAACCTTTCGAGAACTCCTTGAGATGAGGTAATCGTTTACCAACCCCTCTCTCTGGGTATCGCCTCGCCTCCCGCCTGACCCATGACCACCCGGGCAGCGCCTACTCGCTACTGCATTTGCCGGCAGACGGGTGTCGAGTGGCGAGCGGCGAGCGGCGAGTGGTGAGCGGCGAGCGGCGATAGCGGTCGGAAGCGACTACTATCAAATACTTAAGGCGAATAAATACGAAGCCCTAATTTTGAATAGTGCGTGCCGGGACTCGTTTAGATGGCTAAGTGAGTGCAATGCAAAGGGAATTGACACATGAAAGAAGGCAGGATGTCCACATTATGCCGCTCGATACGCCGCACACCCGTCATGGACGGCCGCTCGCCGCACGCCGCACGCCGCACGCCGCATGCCGCACCCCGCACGACGCACGCCGCACGACGTACGTCGCACGATGCACGCTTTATAAGATGACTTATAAAAAAAAAACATCCTCGCATGGCTACGGAGTACGAGGTTTAGCAAAAGGTTTTCATAGCGGAACCGGCCATTTCATATGGAACAATTATGAGCGATTCCAGTTAATTCTAAAAACTACGGTTGACCGCTTCGTTATTCACACAGAATACGAAGTATGTGACCCCGTGCTCACGGCCACGCCTTTAGCGAACACTCGCGGAATGCAACCGAATCCGAAGCGAAATATGACACTGAGGATACCGCGAATGTTGTCTCACAGAATAGTACTGCTTCTCACACAGAAAGCACAACGAACACCTTACGCCTGATGCAAAAGATAAATCACGAGACCTAGAGCTCGCTCGGTATTCCCGTTGCGAGTCCGTTTGGAGCGTTAAGTAGCGCGTACCAAATCCTTGTATGTTTCATGTTTCGCAGCGCGCTCAAGTTGTTATTTAGTCACATTGCAAGTACGCAGACGACAGTAGACATAGGGCATAGGGTTATGAAGCGGGGGACTAGGCCAAAGCTCACACATTGACATGGAGGGCTACAGTTATAAAATTATTCTATTTATGTAAGAAAATGAAAGAAAGTTATGTCGCCAAAGTGAGACATTCCAAGTGTTGGTCGGGTCGCCCACATTGTTGTAATGTTGAGTCCAGGTTCGTGAAATACTGTATCAAGAGTACGAGAGAGAGGTTCTCCAGTACCGCGAGGTCCGTGGCTCAAATAGAGGTCCGTGGGCTTTGCCTACCCCTCTGGGATATACTTTTGGTGGATAGACGGACTGACTGACGTACAGATACACCGACATACAAATGAATTTAAAATGGATTTTTTGTTACTTAAGTGAATCAAAGATTGTTGATTGTAATACATATGTGTGAAGTCAACCAACAGGACTGGTCCAGCGTGCTTGACCATGGCCTGGTCCCCCCTATACTTGGGGTAGGCTCGGAAGCCCATCAATTCGAACGCATAAGAGCTGACGACGAAGTATATGTACGTGTAATAGGGCATGGCGACATGGCGACATGGCGACTAGGCAGCAAGGCGACTAGGCAACAAGGTGGCCAGGCGCCCAGGCGCCCAGGCGACAAGTCAGCCAAGTGACCAGCTCATTGCTGCGGGGACGTGGCACGGGGATATTTAACGGATGACACAATAATAATCTCCGTCTCGGCCTCTAGTGTCCTAACTTTGCGAACCCTAATTTTATCTCTTCTCTTTTTTTATTCGCATGCTATATCAGTCATAATCATCGGTCAGTCACAGTCATTAAAGTTACAAATAATACGAGGAGCATTTATTAATAGCAGTTGCAAAATTATCCCAGTTCACAGTCATAAATTGGCGTCCCCAGGCCGTTCTACTGCGACTGCGACTGCGACTGCGACTGCGACCTGACTACGCGTTTATGTTTACATGTGCAATAATCAAAATAATATTAAACTTTACTTATTATGTCAGTCGTTGGCCAAACTTTTGTAAAGGTAACATGTGCTCGACAAATCCACTTCAGAAAGGTATAATGAGAGGTGCAAGCTTTACGAGTAACGGGATTTGACTCGCGTGCCTGTCACGAGCCGGTCGCGTGATGTTTGAGGGGCTAGTCAATGCCGAAAAGTTGAGCACAACTCTGAGTCAGTTGGCCCACAATCGACACTAATTCAAACATAAAGTGAGCATGGACTATTGTGTAGGAATCGGCCACCACACCCGTGGTATATAATTGTATTGGCAGCACCAAAATCAGCGTATCTTGCAGGCCTCGTGGGCGGATGCGAGAAATATGGGGCAGCGGCAAACTAGCGACACGAGGTGCCGTGCATTCCCCACACATCGCCGAGAGACTTGGTCGGTGTCCGCCGTCGTTCTGCATTGAGGCCTGGTCGTGCGCTGTTTTGCTTCACGATGCCCTCTGGCGTTTTCGTTAATAAATATGTGAGTGTCCTACCTCGGTCAGTCTCGTTCATGGCGGCGGGAGGACCGGCGCGGCGCGCTACGTGCTATGCGCGATGCGGTGGAAGCGCTGCGGCGACGCGGCAGCCTCGCAACTGAGTCGAGGCGGTGACGCGGCTGAAGCGCAGTCCACCGTAGACACGTCAGTGGCGGCCGAGTGCCGCCGCTCGCGCTGCGCCTGACATAATGGATCGGCCGCGGAGCTCGTCAAAAGAAGAATACGAGACCCAATTATATATTTCCATACAATACCGGTAGGAGGCGCGGCGCGGCGCAGGGCGGGGCGCGTCCCCCCGCGTCCTTCCATTAGGAGCAGGAGACGCGCGGGGAGCCCACTCGCTCTCTCGCCCGCTCGCCCGCTCGACGATGTCAACTCATAAACGCGGTTAATAAACTCTTTGGCCCCTTCGTTCGCGCTCAACCTATTTAACATTTAATTTGTTAACATGCGCTAAGTGGAAATTAACTATAGTAATTATATACATATATGTAACACGTGATCATACGTAACTAACACGAAGAGGACATATTGTGTAATAGTACATGAATTCTGTGCCCATACACGGTCTATTGGGCTCACCACATGTAGTAGGTGACCTCACAGGACCCCTTCGCGACCCCTCCGGGACCTCTTCCAATGCAAATGGATTTCAGAAATATTTTATTTGTAACAAATATATAATATTAGTTAGAAATATATACAAGTTGTCCCAAAAGGTTACTTACATAGGAAGGGGGATGATAGGGGTGGTCACAAGGGTCAAATATTGCTACATTTAAAAAAGCAATTGTGTTATCGTCAATAACCCTTTATCAATATGAAATAAAAAAAACAATACAACTAACAAAGATTTTAAAGAAAATTAAAATTGCCCCAGAAGGTGTAAAAATTTTAAGTTTTAAAAAATAAATTTTTTTAATACCCAGAGGGGAATTTTTATTTTATTTTTCTGTTGACTCTTGTGACCACCTCTATCATCCCCCTTCCTATGTACGTAACCTTTTGGGACACCCTGTATAATAATATAATTATTAGAAATCTAATAAGATATGTATCCCATTATATACATTATATGCATACAGTAAAATACATAATTTTACTATCATATTTTAAAAATGATGTCAAGTTAGAAAGATTCGCGAACACCGCTCTTTGCTACTAATATTGTTCGGAACAGTGGAAGTTGAGTTGATTGTACATGTATGTATGTATGTTTGTAGATGTATTGAAAAGTGAAAAACATTGAAAAGTAATTTATTAAAATCCAAAAACTTAAGTTTACATTGAAAAGTTAAGCTAAGTTGATGGATACAAAAAATGTGGGGATTACAAGTATAACACCCCATTCCAAATATCTACAAGTTTCCTTCACCTCACCTCCGTCCTGTACGTCCAGATCGCATCGCAGAGTCATACGCACGCCTCACTCCACCTGCCGAGCCGACCATTGTGGTCGCGGCAGGCGACAGATTATGTGTCGTTGAACTTCGCCAGTGGAATCTTATGTCCATTCAGGGACGGCGATTGCATTTACTTTAGTTGCCGCCTTTATCTGATAATAATTAAAGGAAAATTTTTAACGGTCAAGACTTGACTCTTTGTAACTCTCCGACAGTAGCCGATGTAAGCTAAACAAGTATTATTTACTTTTTCTTTTAAGTCGATTCGTACTTTTAGAAATTCATTTTTAAGTTTAGTATTTTGTATCGGCTTTTTGTACAATGGCCACGATGTACGATAATTAAGTGCGCTATAATATAATATAACACAGACCGCCCTCTACATATGTATATAAATGATCATAATATCGTGAAGTTTTGTACAACCACTCAAGATGGCTATCAAAAGAGAGGCCTATATATATATATATATATATATATATATATAGAGAGAGGGAGAGAGGTACAATATAAAACACTATATTAAATTAAAGATGGCCCCCATTATAAATGGCAAATAAAACGTTTAGAAAATTCACTAAACATCTTCGTTACTTTTAAGGAAATCATTTTTTTTTCTGTCCTTTTTTAAGTCCTCGTTTGTTCTTGATAATCTTCAAAACAGCTGTAGACCGTAGGACCGATGTAGACGGAACTTATGAACCTTGTCTCTGTACTTAGGAAAAATACTAAATTGACACAAGATTTGTCTTAATGTGCTGCATCTGTAATGTAAGGAACAAGATTTGACAATATATTGAGGCGTCTCTGCACCGAATAGAAAACGAGGTCACGCCGCACCGCACCGCGCCGCGCCGCGCCGATGTGTATTGGCGAGTGGGGGACTGTGCAAATGGTTTTCTTTGAAACAGTGCATATTTGGAAGATTATTGTTCCATTGTTCCGTGCAAGTTGTAGGTACTCGTAAATGTAATATTTGAATTGTTCCACACTTGTGTTGTTGTTGTAGGAGTGTAACACATTGTATTGATGCACTTAAATATATAATTCATATGTATCTTTCAAAACTTTCATTCGTTTTATTTTAATTGGTATTTGTAGATAAAGTCGCTGGCTGCAGCAGGATGGAAGACCTTCAGTCGAAAAAGACGTTTCCTTGTGCAGCATGCTGCACATGGCCGTATATCAAGATCCCGTGTCCACCAGACTTATCACACTCTAGCAAAGAAAAGGACATAGTGGTTTGGTGAGGTGTGAAATATACTATTACTTAAGCTGTGCAAAATAATATCCACTTTTATGTTAAAGCTACATATTTCCATACAATTAATTTTCTCTGTACTATACGGAAACATGTTAACTGTTGCCAACCACTTATCATAGTGGAATTCCTAAAACTATCATAATATTCACCGATTTGGTAAAAGAAGAGGTACGCCGCCTCGCCTCCGCCCGCCCCAAGCATGCGGCGTCCTCTCCGCTTTGTTGTTATTGTTTACACGCGTGATAACTGCGATAGGCGCACCGCACCGCACCGCACCGCACCGCACTTGCCGCATTTGTTGCATCCGACTCCATCGATAATGATTATCACTAAACAGTTATTGTAGCGAGCGACACAACTGTGCGAGTCGCTTTTCTGCCTCCGTACCGGCTCGTGCGCGCCGCTCCCGAACCTCCAACTCTGACAAATGAAAACTCGATGCATATACTGCCAATTATTCGAATTTTTTATTTGACGAAGATTTTTTGAAACACAAAATATAAGTAGTATTGAGGGTGTCAAGGCGCCGGGGCGCTATTAATGCCGGATATGCCGGACGTGGTGCACTTATTGGTAGTGCCGGACGAGGCGAGGAGGACGACACGCTTCAGGAGCAAGTATCGGGTCGCGATCGTTGTTAGGACTATGGCTTTCTTCCTTATACCATTACTTTATCTTTTACTCGACGGAAGAACCACCCCGCAGGGACGACGCATCTATACTAAAACAGGTAATGAAATTCCAACCGCGATTAGAAATTGTACTGTCACCAATAATAATTGCATAATGTGTTATTCCAAATCATCAACATGGAAGTTTTGCATGTTTAAAATTAATTAATATGCACACGAAAAATAGATAAATCAAAAGGTTTTAAGTGTTCATAAGAGACAACCTCCTGCTGCGATGTAGGCGCTGCGATGTAGGCGCTGCGATGTAGGCGCTGCGATGTAGGCGCTGCGATGTAGGCGCGGCCGAACGCTCGCCGTTAATTTCACAAATTTTATCTGCTATTGAATATTATAAAGGTTAAATGTATCGTGTGTACCGGCCTGTGTATAATTTATATCAGACACTTATTATTTATTTTTACAAATAAAACAAAAACATAGTAAGGTTTAAAAAATTATTTTTTCTTTGTATAAAGAAATTCTGCCATTAAGTGTGTGTCGTTCCTGGCAGCAGAGCGTGTCGAGGAGGAGTGGGCGACCCGACGTCTTTTGGCAGCGGCAGGCCGGAGCGAAGGGGAATCCGCGTCGCGGCGTCCGCTGGCGCTAGTGGCGAGCCGCGCCTCGAGCGTTAACTGTACGCCGGCTGCCATCCTAGAATTTCCCTCAGATGGACTTTCTCGCATGCAAAGGAAGTCTGTACGTACCGATATTTTTACGTTTCTTTAGTACTTGAAATATGCATCTATAAGACTACATAAAACTGTTTATGTGTTTAATAACAAATATTATGTACTAGATATCGCTCGCGAATACGTCCTCGCAAAATAAAAAAAACTTAATAAGCCAATGTGCCAAATTTCGTCAAGATCCGTCCATCCATCCAGCCATTTACAATATTAGTAAGATTGTGAGTTGTATTATGCTTATTGCTTATTAAAAAGAATTGAACCAAGTTAATATAATTCATTAACAAAATTAATATCGCGACAAAAACTGTCTTGATGAATCACAAATGAATTGTTGTTAGGATTTGTGATAAAATAAAATCATGAAATTGCAACCAAGGTAGAGGTAAAGAGAGGTAGAAGTTACACAATATAAATATTGTTGATTTGATCCTCATCTCGTTCAATCTATCAGAGATTAGTGTGGTTTATTATGTAAAAGTACGGCTAAATAATTCATGATGGTATGAAGACACGGGGGTACGTATCGTGACCGAACGTGAACTGCTTTGTGTGAATAGAAGCTGACGCGTGCTATAAAATGCCGTAGATTGCTAATTGTGGGAAACACATGTATTGTGAGGTGTTTACATCGCACACATCTCGAAAAGCAGCTTTGCCCTAGCTTTGCCCTATATATATATATATATATATATATATATATAGGTACCCTACTTTTGTAGGATGGAAATGAAAAATGTAGCTTCCGTTATGTTCCAATGTTTGCAGCAACTCTCGACTGGATGAGAAAAACAATTGTAGGAAATCGTTCCTCGATTTACACACGAACTGTTTATCGACGGCAATTGTTTTATTTATAGTCCCGAGGACGCGACGCGGAGATAAACGGACCCTCGCCAGATAATCTCTGGCGTCCCAGACGTTTCTTACGCACAAGCAAATAATAACGTAATTATATTGCAAATCATTGTAAACAAAGAAATTAACAGTAAACGATAAGCGCTCTGCTTTGCAGTCGTAGGAAATCAGAACCGGACTTGTAGCCGATTCGGCGCAACCCCTCTTCTTCCGATACTCACACTACACCACAGTACAACAAGCTCTTCACTTGTGGTTTCATGTCATATATTTATTTTATCACCCTCTGGTTTTATGATACATATTTGCAGTTATTGATTATGTTAAAAAACACTGTATACAAGTTTGTACTGCGTTAATAATTGTCTTAAGACATATATGTCTTATTATAATGATTAATTTATCTCATAGCTGTTGCTCGCGACTTCGTCAACGCTAATTAGAATAAAGCAAGAAGTGTTATGTAGCCAGGCCATATAGTGCGGCAGTTTTTTTGCACATATCAGCTACCTTCCGGTAAAAGTGCTGTCATCGCGTACGCCGTTCCAGAGTTTACCGGGAACAAACGCGGCTTGCGGACAGACATAAAAACAGATAGCCAAAAATTTTAAAAATTGTCTTTTCTTTACCTATCATCATCATCATCATCATCATCAGCTCACTATACGTCTTTACCTATAGATAAATTAAATGTTTTATGTACACGAAATATAATATGTTTTTTTTTTATCGATCTATCAAGCATTCACATTTAAATATAACATTAGTAAAATCAATGACCTTTGTATAATTAGTATTGCAACTGATTATATTGTACACATTATATGATATAAATAGATCAGTAATGTGTCATATGTGGGAACTGGGCAGGGACTCGTGGTGGTTCACTGCGTGCTGGCCGTGTACTGCTGCGTGCTGCTGGCCGCTGTGTGCGAGGACTACTTCGTGCCGGCCATCGAGATTCTTTGCGCACGTGAGTCTCATCAATCTGTTATATATTTCCAGTCGTGGGAGAATAATACATTATACTCTAGTGTACGAATACATTTTCAAAGATATTTTAGAAAGTTCTTTAATCTCCCCAGTGAGTCGGTCGGATAGTAAGGTTTTCTTTGTGTCGTAAGGTGGCAAACGAGCGAGCGGCCACCTGAAATCGCTGAAATAGCGAAGCCACCGCTGCCCATAGACGTACGCAATTGCATATGCGTTGCCTACTTTTAATCGCCGGAGGAGAGGATGCACACAAAGAAAATATTTTCCCTTCCCATGCATCCTCTCATCCGAAAAGTCTACTTCCACTTCCCATCCTTTCCTTATAAGAAAAAAGGTTGGAAGGGAAGGAGACTAAATGAGGCCTCCGGGGCGCACACTCATCAGACTGCACGCGAAATAGCTTCCACTTCACGCCTGTTTTCTGTGTGGTCGTGGTATTTCACCGGGCGAGCCGGGTCGATTCGTGCGAAGATGTTAAAGCGCACGTGATGCTGATGACTGGGAAAATAACGAGAGTTTCGATCGTCCATGTCACGGTCAGTTTTTTTTTAATTGAGGTGCTTCGCGACGCCACAGGTCTACAGATGTCCTCGGACGTGGCCGGCGCCACCCTAATGGCGGCCGCCAGTTCCAGCCCAGAGCTGTTCATCAGCTGCGTGGGTACATTCGTGACCAAGGGCGACCTGGGCGTAGGAGCCGTAGTTGGCTCCGCGGTGTTCAACGTGCTTGCCGTGCCCGCCTGCTGTGCACTGCTAGCTTCACGGGTAATCCTTGCCCCGCACCCTCCGGACGCCTGCGTCCATGAACTGCACCTTCTACGTTGGGTTTTCGCAGATGGTCGAGCTGGACCGGTGGGCAGTGTCGCGCGATTGCCTCGTGTACGCACTGGCCGTGGTGGCGCTCGTGGTGGCGCTGCGCGACAACGTGGTGTACTGGCACGAGGCCCTTGCACTTGTTCTCATGTACGCGCTCTACATACTAGGTAAATCCTCGTTTGTTGGTACACCTTCTTTCTTGCGAAGTGATGTGGCAAAACTATTATACAAAATGCGTAATTTGGTTATTTTTATATTATATGTATATATATATATTTTTTTTGTTCGACCATAGCTATGGTGTTCAACGGACGTCTCGGTAGACTTGTGCGCGGTGGTTGTGGATACCTTCGCAAACCCAAGCTTTACAGCGAGATCACTCCCCTGCTAGTTAATGGTAACACAATTTGGAACCAACTAAAAAAAGATCAACGTCACACCGAGCAATTCAAAAAAGTGTTTAATGGGAATGATAAAGAGCAGTTTAGTGACGTTCCTTGCTTTTACTACTTTATTTATATTTTATTCACAAATCATTGATCGCTTCAAGATGAAATGAAAAGACGACGATCCGCGTGTTACAGGAAAGTGCGGCGAAGGTGATGAACCGGCCGTCGTGCGCGGCTGCTGCTCACAGTGGGGAAAATTCATCGACAAAAGTGTTACCACTGATTCCGGTCGGTCAATTTTCATATATTATAATACTTAAGGTTCAAAAAAATTATTCTTAAAAAGACAAAGAAAATGTCACTTACATGAGAATAATATCAAACAGTATAACATACATAGTCGCCATTGTTTTGACTTATTAATAATTTACTTTTTTTTTACAACAATCTCAAATGTATTGGTAGTCTCAAATGTAGATAGCTTTGATTTAAATGGATTAAAAAAGTTAAACTATAAAGTTACTTAATAAGTGTGGCACTGACATTGTCGGCTGCGCACCACCGCCTCCACTCGACTCCGTACTTGTACTGTGTTATCTTACTCATACGACTCATTTCAGAGTGTGCGCTTTGGGGCCGTAACTCACCGCTGCGGTGGCCGGGCGCTAGGGAGTCATACGCGCGCTGGGTACTTTGGGCGTGCACATGGCCCGTGACTGCGATGCTGTGGGCTACCATACCCGACTGCAGGCGGCGCCCCGCGCTCTGCCCCCTCGCCTTCGCGGTCTGCGTGCTCTGGATCGGCGCAGCCTCCTATCTCCTCGCCTGGATCATCACGATACTCGGTGACTGGATTAGATACGGCTCGGTGGGGCCACGGGCGATCTCAAACTATTCACGCATCTACCCAATTCTATATCACTATGCATTTTTTCTATCTTTCCTTTCTCATTACCGTGTTAAATAAAAACAGAAGCGAATACGGTTCGAGCGAATACGCGAATACGCGCCAAGTAGAACTCTGAAAATTCATAAGTCTCGTTAGGAATAAAAGAATCATGTTTCGTATTGCAGGCGATACGCTAGACGTGCCAGACAGCGTGACGGGTCTAACCGTGCTCGCGGCCGGCACCAGCCTGCCTGAAGCCGTCTCAAGCGTGCTCGTTACCAACCGGGGTAAGTTTCGGGTCCGGGAACCCCGCCGGCGATTGATTCTATTGCTAACCTCATATCACTCCAATTAGTTGCTCGATGGGTCAGGCTTGATATAATCCCGGTTTCATCTGGCTTTAGAAGAGAGGCAAGAACCCGATAATATATGGAACAGCTTCTCTGTTGTAACTGACCTAAATCCTAACAAAAGCTCCTGACAAAAGCTGAGTGCGAAAGGACGTTGTGCATTTAAACATTTAATTTAATGTGAAGATGTGAAGATTTGATCATATAATGCAGGGCACGGCACCATGGGCATCAGCAACTCCATCGGGTCCAACACATTCGACATTCTGCTCTGCCTCGGGCTGCCCTGGCTCATCAAGTCGCTCTACTTCCCCGCGACGCCCGGGAATTTCTGTGTTAGTGCATTTCAGAATAACCGGTCATGCAACATAACCTAACCACCATTAAATTGTATCTCGATAATTATACAAACAAATTATTATTAAACTAGCGGACCCGACAGTAGTTGTCCTCGTCCTCTCTACACGTCTTTAATTTGAATATTATTTAAAATTTGACACTGCGAAGGTAGCGCCGTCTGTCGGATCCAATGTAAAACATTCCAAAATCAACAACTACTAATAAATTAAAAAAACATTGTCCAGCGGACAAAATTGTGAATCTAAACCATTCCCAGATCCCCTTGAACACACACAAAAAATTTCATCAAAATCGGTCCAGTCGTTTGAGAGAAGTTCAGTGACATACACACTCACAGAAGAATTATATATATAAAGATGTTGCGTAATGTACTTAACTACTCGATTTTGCTTTTTCTGTTACGAAAAAACAAAAATAATCGAGTAACGTTCATACGTTTACAGATAAGGATAAATTCGGGCGGGCTGTCATACAGCGCGGCGGCGCTGCTGTCCACACTGGCCCTGCTGTACACCGCGCTGGCCGCCGGTGGCTTCAGACTGCAGCGGAGGACCGGCGTCGTGTGTGCACTCGCCTACATCGCCTACCTCACCCTGGCGGTATTGCTCGAGCTCAACGTGCTGGTCGACGTCAACCCGCCTATCTGCGTGCACTGACCTGCCCTATTCTATTGTACATAGTTGCACAAGTGTACGAGTACGTACATACATGGCAATACAACTTGCGTCATCATAGACTAGACTACTACTAGAGAAGCAGCTATAGAACTTATAATTGTATTGTTAAATAACCCGAAATACTTAAATGCGAATAATTATAATTATGTTATAATAAAATTCATATTAAAAAGTTTCTAGTGTTTCATTATATAATAATCCAAAGATCGCTAACTTTTGTACAGTTTGACAAATCACTAGATATGGGTTGAGTAAAATCGGTTATAACATTTTTGTATTTTCGATGGTTGTTCTCATCTCAGAACTGGCAACCGAAAATTTCCTGATAATTGTTTTTGATTCACAACATAAATGAAATTAATGAAACATTTTCATATTACATATTCCCATACGTCACACTCATTTAAATATTTTCCTATTTTGGTGTAGTTTTTATTTAGCACCATTGTGATTTATACTTTCCGGCTATCATATTGAATGGTGCCCTACTTCTAATACATTTTACATATCAGTTCCTATACTTGACAGGAAATCAAACATTCTGTTTGTTTGTTGTAGGTGCATATGTACATGGCTTTCCCCATCCTGAGAGACGGTCAGAGATGTTTAGAAAATGTGTGTCAATCACTGGAATTATAGAGCCATAAACTGATGTGTCTGAAATTAGTTGGTGGGTCCATGTGTGTATATGTAAAAAATATATTTTTTTATTTGTAATTTTTTATTGTAAAGAAAAATTTGCTTGCCTATGTTGTAAGTAAGAAAATATGTTCAGAGTGTTTAAACTCGCAAATAACTACAAATTGCCAGTTGCCAGCTTGCATGTGACTGAAAATATTTTGGGGTTTGGTTTTAATTACAGAGTATGCATTCTTTTGTGTCCGCGCTATACTATTTATTACCGTAAATGTAATTTTCAAATATATATATTAAAAATATATGATGTATATGTACTTGCATAAACTTAAAATTAAGTTATGTAGAAATATAATATTTCTATATATATATTAGATTTAAGACTATTCATTAGATTCTTTGTTAGTTTATTATTAAAAATTGCATTAGAATGTATCATTACATTTATAAATATAATAAATAATGTACAAAAATATAAAAGTATTTTGTTTTTATTTCTCCAATAATAATAATAGGATCATTTTAATAGAGGTATTTCATAGAACGCTACTTGATATCGGCTCACTATATTAATAACTACATAAGTGGGTATATTATTTTTGAACATTGATTTAATGTCAATTTTAACTTTATTAATTAGATTCCCACTTATCAGTTATTATTGTAGTGAGCTAAATATGCGTGCTTACGTATATAGGTAGAAAAAAAAATAGTTCATCCATAATACGCATGGAGCGCCACAATCGCCGTGGATCCACGACGATGTGCGAGTTGGCCTTCTTTCTATAGTATACTTACTATACTCTTTGGACACTATGACAACCGTCCAACAAGTACAACTTTAGTCCTCGTACAAAATTAATGTACCAATGTGTTTTTCGATTTCCGCTTTACATATGTACATTTATCCGACGTTCTTACTGTGAAGGAAAACATCGTGATGCAACCTGCACATATCTGAGAAGAAATTCAAAGATATGTGTGAAGTCAACCAACCCGTACTGGGCCAGCGTGGTTGACTATGGCCTAATCACTCTTAACTTCGGGTAGGCTCCGAGCCCCTCGGTGGGGACGTATAGTGAGCTGATGATGAAGTAACTTAAGACTTTTATTACAGGAAGTAGGCAGCATACATTTCTTTTTCACAATAATACGTAAATATCTCAATAAAGTCTTAATTGAAAGTTGATGTGGTGTTGACAAATGTTAATCTATATGTGTACATGGATATGTTGCTCCCGCCCCCGCAACAGCCTTACAGTGCCGTCACCCAAGACTAAGGTTCGACCTTTTTTTTTCCAGACAGGAATGCTTTATGCATTCTCCGCACCCCGGGTAGTTATGTGGGATTCTCCTCCATAACGGAGGCATACCCACTAAACCTCTCTGTTCCTCCAACGCATCGGGACGAGGCCACGGGCACGCTTTCGCTCTCATCCGAGGCCCCGTCTGCGTCAGCTGTCGAGGTAGCTCTTTCTCGGGGGGGAGGTAGCCCTCAGTCGACGGTGATGGACTCCCCCGTGTCCATCACCAAAGGGCTATTGTGGGGGGCGGGCGGTGGGGGGAGGGAGGCGGCGGTATATTGCAGTGTTATAATACTGTGAACTGAAAGTATGAAAGTTTTATCTGAGAGCAATGTTATTCTTTCAACGGAATTACTTGGAAATTGACAAATAAATATTTTTCAGAACAGCTTATTTCAATTTCATCACGCCATTATGGTTCGTGATACACGTAATTCGCAAAGCGTTATATTAGTATTAGTTGTCTTCTCTCCTGATGATTGCATGTTTTATATTTACTTTCTCCGGCGACGTGCCTTGATTGAAGACGCCGGCGGAGGCAACGGAGGCGGCGAAGGCGGCGGCGACGGCGACGCAACGTACATTGACACCTGCCAGTCGTGTGCGCTCGGTAACGTACCAGCTTCACAATTCCTCTGATCGTATCTTAATGCCTGCTCCTGAGAATTTCGCTCGTGATGTACAGTTCGTGCTTCTCGTATATTTTTTTTTTTTTTTTTAAATACCTTGTCGGCCCAAGTTCATCAAGGCGCTACCCATACCCTCACCTCACACTTCACTACACCTTAAATTGAGTGCAGTGACTTGCGCGAAGTTAAGAGCTGCCACGATATCAGAAAACATTACAGAATTACAGGAAAACCTTATATTTACGTTACTTCCTGTACTGTAAATGTCAGTGTTGATAAAAACAAATGTATAGTGTAGGTTGCAAGCTATGTTTATATCGTGCGTTTATTATAATTTTCGTATTATATATTTTTTTATTTAATTTCGTATATATATATATATATATAGTGGCTGGCCAGCAACAGCGGATAGGGGCAGCGGACAGTGGGGGGCGGGCAGTGGGGAGAAAGGCTTGGCATCACGCGAGGCCGCCGCGCCGCTCGCTGCCTCAGTCTACATGTACCTGCACTGGCAGGTACATGTCACGTCACGTCATGTCACACGCAACTTTTCCTCTGCGAAGCATTGGTTTGTAAAAGCGAGTCGTTGCCCTCGCCACTCGCCACCCGTTACTTAATAAACTATTATAAACAAATACTTAAACATTGCTTCACTTAAATAATAATATTTATATTGAGTAAAAGATACCTAGAGCGATGTGTACGCGATAAATACGTTAATGTTTTCACATATGTTTGTTTGTGTGTACATCGACTAACTAGTAGTGTAGTACTACATGTGTAGAAATAAAATTTTTATCTTAGTTGAAATGTATTTAATGCAATGTGTATATTTTATTTGAAATCTCTTAACTTATTACAATTATTTATAAAATATTTAAATAGACTGTAAAATAATAACCAGTTGCATTCCACCGAAACTTGGTTAGCGAAGAAATCTCTGTACAATAGAATACTACTAGGAAATCATTACCTCCTAAACTTTGGTAAGATCCTCCATGTCATGTCATGTCATGTCATGTCATGTCATGTCACTGAATCAACTATATGCTGTGTACATATCTAAATAAAAGTATTATACATATACGAGTACCAATAATATATTGGGCATAAACTTGGAGTTTCCTTGAGTGAGTTTCTGGTCCATCACATCACAGTAGTGTCGCACTGGTCCATCTTGTAGAGAACCTTCACTTAACAATACACAACAACAACAACAACAACAACAACAACAACATCGGCATTTCTCATAATATTATTCATATGCATATTACAGACAACACTATTTCGAAAGAATCCCGTCTAATAATCTTTGAAATAAATTTGGTGTTGGTTTGGGATAGTGGAGCGGTGCGGAGGGCAGTGCGGGGGGCAGGCAGACGCGCACGGTGGGCGGCGCGCCGCCTGGCCGCGCCGGGGTGAAGGGACGACGCGCCAGCGTTGAGCTTCCCGTGAGCCAGGCGGCGGGCTGGCTCGCTCCGGCTATTGTCGGTACGAGAAGAGCCGAATCCGGGGCTCTGCGCTTCTCGCTGAACGGTGGTGCCGATATCCCAGTTGGCTGTGCCGTGACCGTTCTCCCGCCCAAGTCAATTTCTTCCGGGTAGATAGAGTCGTCGTAGTCCCTGGACTCGTGGTCAGATGGCGCCAGTTCTTTGTGCGCCGCCTGTTTCAAGCCGTTTATCTCCCGGACTAATTTAGCATGCTCTTTAACAATATCCTCTTTTGAGGAGGAAAAGGGAAGCGAATCGAATCTCCGAGAGAAGGCTCTACGCATTCTAAATGATGTACTCGAATAGGTACCGTCGTCGAACAATAAATTGTTCAGGGCGGGCGAACCGCTCCCTCCTCCTGTGTAAACAAATCAAAATTAAAAAGTTAATTTTGTCTCGGCAGTTTGCGACGCGCCTGAAACGTCTGGATGATGTCGTTTCTTTATATAGAATATTTATGTGATATTATGCATCAGGTGTACATATATATGTATGTAGCTGTGAAATGTCCGCTACCTATGAAAAACGGTAAATTGGTCTCACTTGCGCCGCCAGCCATGACACTCCGGTATCGTCCGGCTGATCTCCATTCCGGATCCGGATAATCAAAGCATTCTACCTGAAATTTGACAGTTAATTGTTATATTTTCAAATGATGACATGAAGGTGTACTGACTTATCTATCGACTTCCCCTATTTGTGAATTTGTGCCGGCACATGAAGGTTCACATGAAGGTTATTTCTAATTTGTTTAATAAACCATAGGACATCGAAAAAGAATATATTTTTTTTTTTGGTCACCGGAATCACAAGTTCTCATGAGACTTTCTATTTTTTTTTTTTTTTGTTAAGGGATAGCTTATTA